ACAGAGCATCTTAATGAGGGAAAACAACAAATGAGACAAAAAAAAAAAATGGAGAAAAAGGAAAATTTTCATACAAATATTCAATGCTTTAGACTCGTTAATCAATAACAAAAGCTGCCATGAACCAATCTATGATAATCGTAAGGGATTAGCAGAATAGGATTAGAATGCTAGAGAGGCAAGTATGGATTAAACAAGGAAGCACAACTTATTATAGAAAAGTAGCAGACAAGAAGAAGAATAATGCCAATGACGACATCATCTTTCTTATTTCCTTGTAATTTTCTATCATTGACTGATTAAACTATTATCCTATTTGTCTTTATTGTGGCTGTAACTATCTTTCTTTCTCTTTTTTAATTATCAATAGTGAATGTGATTACTTAACATTGACTTATGTTGTACACCATCGTATTACTTATATAATTCATGTTCAACAACAAATAGAATAACAAATTCAACTTGAATCACACAAGTGCCATAGAAAGTTCACATAATAATTTTTTTATTTTTTTTTTATTAAACATTCAAGTCAAGGCTGTTGGTTTGGGTGCATTTTCCAAACGATAACAACTACCATGTTTACTGTAAGTTTTTACTTCGATGAGTAAACTATAAATAACAAATCTTATCATGTCTTTATTGACTACTTTTATTGCATCGATGTGTTATTCAAATAGGGTACTGATTAGCGTTATGTTCGTAAATGAGTCAGTAATCGAATTTGTAGTGATTCAAAAGACAAATTTGAATATTTAAACATAACTTAAAACACTTTTTTTTCTATATATATTTTTGATGGGAAATGATTCAATACTTCTGCTTCCCAATAACCTATTTTAAGAGTATAATCCGTTGTCATTGGACTTTTGCATTGATTGATTCTATTAAGCAACTGTTATTTCCTAGCAATCATCAATCATTAATGTATTGGAAGGGGAACCGTTTTAAATTTCAATAATTTCCTATAGAACTTCGGTGGGTGATGTGAAAGCGTCTATATTAAGATTAGCACCTATAGTATCGCATATTGCAGCCACCATTTAAAATTACCCATTTCGGATTGTACTAAAGTATGCCAAGAATTAGCAAGAAATGATGGGAGGAATTTATAATTTGAACATATAAATCGGAATACATTTACTTATTATATGATGAATAGTTATACTCGATCCTAACTGGTATTTCGTAAAGTGTAGTTAGATAGCTTAGATTATCATCAACTCTTTATCCGTTATTATGGATGATGAAAATAATGCTCTCCATTGCCTTCTACCGTAGCTATTCAGCCAAGGCTGTAAATGTCCGTATCGAAATAATTTGATTGAATTAGTGTTTGAGCACTAAAATGAATGTTCCAATTGATTTATAAAAAGATCCAATGTTCATACAATATTGTCATCAACAAGGGGCTATGGTAGATTAATAGATGATATCATAATGCGTGGTTTCTAATTTTGATTCAATTAGTACGATCACTGCATGACTATAATAAGTAGGATGCGAGAGAAGAATCCTACTGCCTACCTCCAATAAATTAGAAACATTCTAAAGTACTCCTAATGATATCCTACCGAGTCATGAACGCCATGTTGGTATAAAGAGTATTAGTATCGAGATTGCACTCATTGCATTGCTCTTGTTGAATTGTTTCTCCTACAAGTTAGTTGAATTTTATATTACTTTACGGGGATGACGTTGACGATGAAGAGGAAGAAGCTAGTTGTATAATCTCTCGTCAGTCTACAGTCAATCATAGACAAGAAAAAAGGATCATGATTGATCTTTAGTATTTTGCAACTATTATTGGTTGATTGATAGAAAAGAAAAGTAGCTAATATGCCCCCATTTTTTACTAGCGTCAATTTTCGAAAGTAGATAGAGAGTATCAAGGTCTAGACTCAGCGATGACAGAGAAAGAGTAAGAAAGAGAATTAGCATTTTATTTAAAACAATAAAATAGATAATTATAGCAATCAATAAGTAAAATAAATTGTGATAATCAATTTACAACGATTTATTCAATTACTGGCCTCCATCATTGGAGGATTAGCTTAACAATCATCCACTCACGATTGAATTCAACGCTTGAGTGAAACAATGCTTTACAACAAGTTGGATTAAAGGAGTAGGTGGGTTCATCAAGACAATCGGCTTTCATGGCTTCCAAGTCGATCCTTTTATGTCGTTGTTGTTGTCTCCTGATACTGCAATGAATCATGTCTACATCGTATATTGTTTTTCTTTCAACCTTAAGCTCTTTCGGATGATAGAATCTTATCCAACTTGGATCGCCATGGCAAATTGAAGGGATGTCGCATGGATTAGATCGACATGCTTATTTTATTCATTCTCTAGTCCTCTTCTACCTTGAGTACGACCTATATCATTTTCCGATGGCGACATGGAGGAAGAAATTGATTCTATCGATCTTCAGGGAAATTCCGTCACTTTCCAACCAATCTATTTCAAGTTGTGCAACACCCTTCAATACGCTCTTGTTGTTGTCGTCGTCGTCGCTTTCTAATATTTATTGTTGTCATGATTATTGTCATTGATTCAATATCTAATTCTTTTCCAACAATGTCATGATAGAGATGATCAGACTGGCTATTATACAAGTGGTCTATTGCATTGCATTTTTTAATACTTTTCAGTGACAACACGTCAACAGTTCTCTCTTTTTCTCTCTCTCGCATACACATATCCACTCATCCATTGCTTTTCATAGACATTCATTTCTTGACCACTACTGACGCCATTCCATTCCCACCTCTGCTTCTGTGTCCAACTTCTTTCCAGCTCGAGCCACGTTTATGTCGCATACCCCCTACCATTTTACCCTTGTTGCCAGCCCTCTTTCCAATTTCTTAATAGTAATAATAACACATCATTCATTATCATCAGCGTGATAACAATAATGTAATAATGATGATAAGGGGAATGATGAGGAGGAGGAGGATGATGATGTTGTATATTCATTTTATTTTTTTTAATACCCTTTTATTTAGCAGTTTTTATCCTTATTGTAAGAGCTTTAATTGATTAGGTTACACAAGCGTATCGTCAATAGACAGGTATAAGGGGCCCAGAAAAAGATTCGATACTTCAAAGCATAAAATCTCAATTGATTGTTAAGTCGCCAAAATTGCTCCAACGGACTTTTTTTTTATTCCTCCTCAAATTGCTATACTATTTTTTTTTTCTCATTGCATATTTTTACATCGTCTTCTCCAATTTTATTTACTTTCACTGTCTACCATAAAAGGCTGTTCATAATAGTATTTGTTTACTCAGTCTATTTCATATTAAGTGTACATAGCAAATTGATTTGTTATAGTAATATTTTCTCTTCTGCCCAACATTTTACTATTTAAGCGATAGCAAAGTCCAACCTTAGTATTGCATAAATCATTTTCCTTTATCCAAACATTGGCGAAAAGGAACTGTCTAGAAGAAAAGCTCCAGTGTCTAAACTAATTTGGGGGAAATTTACCTACTATAATACGTGTTATAATCGAGATAATCTCTTCAAGGTAAGAAAAAATTCATCTATAGTACAATTTTATGTTGATTGGATTGATTTAATATTTGAAGAGGTATTATGGTATTAACGGCGCCAGGGGGGGGGGGGATAAAGATAAGAGTGGCGATCGCGAGGCTGGGATGCATTTTTGGGTAGCGTTTTTTAGTTTGTTTCTACAATTGCCTCAGCCGTAATTTCGATTAATTCTATCAAACTGAACTATAATCTAAAGTATATTAAATCAAAGTGGTTATAATTGTAATATTTTTTATTTCCTCCAAAATGATGAATAGATTACTCTATCCTTTAAAACTTTTTTCTATGGATAAGAATATTATAGCACTATAGACATAGACAAATGATCAAAATCCTGTTACCTTACTTCAATGATCTCCTACCAGGTATAAAAAGTGGAGAAGAGAGGGTGTTAATGATATTTAATTTTTAATCTAGTTTATATATTTAGGAATTATATCAGTATGTCATGAGTGACGCATGAAATTGAAAGTAATGAAATAATCTGACAAAGGATAAAATGAGCTTAAATTTTACCAATTGATCGTTGTTGAAATAAATTAATATCACTAACGAAACGTTCCAATCTGCTCATCACGTTTACATGATATATTGAAGTCACTTGATGATAAAAAATTAATGCAACAGTCAATGTAGAATGGCATACAAGATATCCTTTCGTCTTTCTATGATTCAGTATACTATCTGAGGAATGATTGTTAAAGTCATCGTGTCCAGATGTCTTTCACTAGATTAGAAACTATCCTAGAATTACTTTGTAGTAACGATCGAATGGATGTTTTGGCTTAAGTACCGGTACTTGTTACTGCAGCACTAATCCAATCACACTGTAAATCAATTCAATATTGAATAGTTAGAGAGTTGGATAGATGTGACTGTCAGCCAACGGTGCTACTGTTTGATAGCATAAAATAAAGAATCAGTAGATAATATTTTTACATCAACAACCAGCGCAAAATATAGTGTTTTAGTACAGTAAAGATTAATTATTTCAGCAATTATTGCTACGTTGTGTTAAGTTGACTCATTAGTTAAAATCTACTTGATAGTCGCCAAAGTCTTGCTTGATACAGCTAATTTAATATTAGCGGAATAGAACATACTTAATTTGGTACCGCACTTGAAAACTTTGTGAATGTATGCAAGCTTCGTCATTTTCTCTCATACCATAACATGTTTTGATGTACTCGTACCCTTATTTAAATATGTGAATTGAAGGCAGATCTTATATATTTACGTCCATGTACATTTTAAGGTCCAAATATTGATATAATGTGATCAATTTCGATAGCTATTTAAGTACGTATGGTAGAAACAAAAAAATACAAAATGAAGTATTATTGATAACAAATTGAACATATTTCTTTCCTTTCATTTGCTTTAAAGCAACGACAACTCGATATTGATGGGTAACAAGGAAGAGAGTGAAGAAATCAGAATGGATAAGGACGAACAGAGTAACACTGATGATATCGAAGAGTTAAGTAAAGAGGATGATGAATCAAGCAAAGATGAAAAAAGCAAGAACGGACATCAAAAACCTCCTTTCTCTTACAACGCATTAATCATGATGGCAATTCGAGATTCGCCTGATAAAAAATTAACTTTAAGTAACATCTATGAATATATTATGAAAAATTATCCTTTCTATCGTGAGAATAAACAGGGTTGGCAGAATTCGATCCGGCACAACTTGAGTTTAAATAAATGCTTCGTTAAAATGCCACGTCATTACGATGATCCTGGCAAAGGAAATTATTGGGCATTAGATCAATCATGTGATGATGTGGAAATTGGTAGTGTAACTGGTAAATTACGCCGGAGAAATAACTCATCGTCTAGGCCGCGTCCTCGTGAGCTCCGTTTTAGCCCTTACTCAACACCATCTTTAGCCATGGCACCTGCAGCTGGTGGCGTAACACCAAATTGGCCTTCGACCATGTTTGATCTACGCTCATTCTACATGCAACAAGGTCTTAGCGCTGCTAACACACCTATGAATAATAATCAAATTGCCATTGGCGCAAATCCACCTCATTTACCATCCATGCCAGGATCTTTTACAACCTTACCTATAGTTTACAATCCTTCTCCTTCTCACCATCATCGCCATCCTTCATCGGTAACTCCGGCATCATTAATGACATCGACAGGTCTTTCTCATCTTTATTCTAATGGTCAACAACCATCGGCGCAAAGTTTATCCCAACCGTCGACAACATTGCAGCCATCATTGCACTCATCGCCAGCGACAGTTACAGCAGCAGCCATACATCAGCACCATCAACAACAACAACTAGCAAACTATCGGCTATCACTATTACCATCATCAGTAGCAGCTTCAAGTATTCTATCATCTGCCAATAGTAACAACTTAGGAAATAGTAATTCCGCTAGCTGTTATCAAAATGGTTTTACTATTGATAGATTGATTGATCAAGATAAAGCAGCATTCATTCAAAATCCATTTGGCTATTATTAAGTAAAAAATGGAAGGAAGGTATAACTCTATTAGCCGACTAATCCATCTATAATAGTCCAAATTGAAGATAGAGTAGTTATATAGGCCATAAAAAAGTGTAATCTAGCTTCAACTGAAGCAAAGTAACGCTGCCAGCTGATAACGCTTATGTTATCTTTATTATTACTCACAATTCATAAATTATTTATTATTATTATTATTATTGTTATTATTTTACAAGACTTGCTTATTTATGAAATACTTCTGTAAGTTATTTTCCAAAGTAGAGTAATGAAGCGATGATTAAGTCAATCTTTATAATAGATTTCAAATTATTATAAACAGGCTTAATCTTTCAATCGTTTATTTAATCATGATAATTTCAATCGCAGTTTATATTTAATATCATTATTAATACAATATAGGGTTCGTTTTGTTGCTACCCTACATCACTACCATCACTATTTCATTATTCCCAACATAATATCTGCTATACTCGTAGTAATGCATTTATAATAATAAATATTATAGTATTGAATACTTATTGCATGAAATATTATCCAAATTAATTTAATCCTGGTTTAAATGATATGCTTATATTTGTATGTTGTTTATAATCACCAACGAACGTATGAGATTCTAGTATGATTTTAGTAATATTTTATACTGTATTTGATGTTAAAATAAAAGTTTTCAACCAGGGATTTTATCGTTTCGTTGATGTTATGTGTATTAATAAATCAATTTGTCATTTATAGTCTATCTCTTTTCTTGCTTGAAGTTATTTTCAGCACATCACCAAGTCAATTTTTGCAGTATAACATTTTGTGAAAAATTTTCTCTATATTTTGCTTATAATACGATCGTCAACGAAATAGAACTTTTACTCAAATTGTAATCGATCATAAAGTAGCAATTTTTCGTATTAGATGATCTCAATATATATCTTTTAACCCATCAGTATGATATAAATTTGAAATGTTTATGCTGCTATGAAGTAAAGTATAACATTTACTCCATCGACACCGTACACTTTCATACGCTTATTGCACGGATAAGTTCAAGAATTTTCTAGATGAAAGTGCGCTATTCAAGCATAACAGATATGAGATACTGTAAGCACCAGTAATTGACAACAGGTAGGTAGGAATTGTTTGAGTATGATTGAATCAAATAAATCTACTCTACTTTTTAAAAGGCAAATCTATTTATGTACGAGTTGCACTGTTAAAATAAGGATAAACTTGCATCTCGAGAGGCATTATAAAACTACAAAGGTGCGAAATTTTAACTCTGCATGATTCTTTTATTAAAAGTCCCCAAGAATTACTCGGTAATTAAAATTAATTAAAAATGATTAATATTTTACTTTGATTATATAATTATCAACTCGGCTTAAAAGCTACCGGAATGAAGTAAAAGAGTTAAGGCATTATTCAAATAATGAGCTAACAGCAGTTATTCGCCAGTAGTCATATATTTGTTAATCTTCGTGTATGTGTTTACTACCTCAAAAATTGCGTTGAACAAGTGGCACAGTCATGCTTAAATTTACCGAACTTAATCCTAAAATAAATAGTTTAAGTTCTGTGTGGAATTTGCGATCATATAGTTATGTTACTAGAATGTCATATTTGGAATCATCCACATACAAGTAAATCGTTGTGATTATCAATGAATTAGTCTATTAAGATTGACTGTGCTTAGCCTATTTTTATTCCCGACCGAGCAAATCGTGATTATTACTAAGGAGAAAACTATTTTTAAAATCGAATTTTATCGTAGGTTATTGTAGTAGAAATATTTTTAAATACAGTAATCAGACAGTAATGTTCTTTTTATATTTCATGGCGATTGTGCTAACTTTGACGTCAGACTAAATGAATTTTATTCGACAAATTCTTCAACTTGGAAAGAAACAATTAGAGATTACTTCATTAAAACCGATGAGTCATTTAATCTGCAAGCGCGACCAACAAGCGGAGGGGGGCAGCCATATTCACTACCGATCTACTAGAACAAGATGAAGTATTTAAGAATTTTTTATTGTGATAATGTCAATTCCTTGACGTGTAGACGTTCACAGCGGTCTAGGTGTTTTTTTCTGTCGCAGAACTTATTGATGTTATTCCTTGTTTATAAATGATATTTTCTTGTTAGGGCTATAAATCTTATTTAGATGTAATGGCTGTCTCATTCATTCATCAGTTGTCATCCACTATTACGTATCATTTCTATTAATTTTAACTTTTCCCACAACTGTGCAGACTGGTTCTGTCGTCAATTCTACAGTATAAAGTAATCTAAATGTAAAATGTCTCATGAAGAATGACAAGATGAAGCCCAGAGGCAATCATTTGTATACTTTATTGTAATATATATTGTTACTTTTGGATTACCCTACAGACAGATTGTATATTTCTCTATTATTTAGTAAGCTAGAGAGTATCTATTAATCTATTCTTCTAAATCAGTATCATTGTCTTGATCGAATTATATTCTAAATGTTAGAACCGCTCTAGATTTACCACTAAAAGAAAGGAAATTAATTTTTTTATTCTTATCTGATATAGCTTATACCTTGTTCTCATAATCGAATTCTATTGTATAATTCTATGAACTAATCAGTTCCAAGTTAAAGAACATCATTTCATCTAGTTACTACCATGTTTCAAAACATTAAACGATGTGGGTTCGCTGCTTAAGTGAGAAATCTAACTTATACATATTGACAAGAAACTATATACAGTTTAGAAACTTTAATTGGTAGCCTCTTTATATAAGTGAACATTTATAAACGCTACACAGAAAGTACTATATGAACATAAGAAAATTCGAAATGATGTCAGATCTCTTGGATATAATTCAGATTTAATAGTTAAAAAAGGTTTAAAAAATTCTCGAAATCTTTGCAAGTTAACTCTAACTTATGATGGCGATGTTGAGATAAATTACAGCGTCTCTGATTGGATATGTAATAGTTATGATATCATGCTGATGTAATGGATAATTTTTAATAACAGACACGTAAATCTATCACATTAATATTGGCCTCTATAAATTCAAAGTTGGAGTTTACATTTCAGTAAATAGTCGTCGTTTAAGTAAGAAGATTAATTATTAATAGCGAGTTATCGTGCAGTTGGCGTTGTTTGACAACACCCTGAGAACTGCTTTAATAAATAACAGAAAAGCATCATTGATTTAATCCAAATGTTTGGATACTAAAAATAGTCTTGCTGAAAAATTTTACCAGACATATGTATTAGCTGTAAATGTAAAATAACTCCACCTTCAAATGACTTGAAAATACATGTTAATAGGTGATAGAAGGCTATGATGAATTGATTATTCTTATTGTCTGAAGGATTAAACAATAATTCCTTTAGCATGTATTATTTCTCTTGTTTTCTCCGTCGAATCTACTTGACTAGCATCAACATTATCTATTTATGATATTACAATAATAGTAAGGGTTATAAATAAATTTAATATTTCCGTTTGTAAACCAAGTCGTCATCTTTTAGACATTCTAGGAACAATATTGAGCATAAAATAGATAATTTGATATTACTTTCCTCCTAGGAGGAGCGTTTACTATAGTTTATATTGCTTGAAGTTGTGCGTCTTTTTTTATTCATATAATAATTATTCGTATATTTAGATTATGAATGAGGGATAGTATTCCTTTTTTCATACTACCATAATTATTTTATTATTTAATATTACCGTGAGATAATCTTCAATTAAAAAATCGTTGTAACTAAGGTAAAATCTGAACGTTTATTGTACAAGACAAATCTAATCTTATCGTATAAAAATTGAATGAGTAATTGACTAGTACCATCATTCTATATTACTGATTATTTTTTGTTGAATATTAATCAGACATTAAATGATTCCATAGTACTATATAAGAATAAAAGCACTCAGCTACTGCTATACATTCCTAATGATGTCAGCACTGATACATACTGTATTTCGTACCTTGATGAGAATTAAATACTTATACATCGTTAGCCTTCTAAAATATAGTATAAACCGACATCCTATCGATATGCTGCAATGTGCAAAGGTTATTTCGTTACTGGATCGATTGAGTATTGTAAATATTCACAATGTACAACATATGGCAGAAGGACAAGTCGATATGCATAGCACATATTGTACAAAACAGGATTTTAAGGATAGGATGGCTAAATAAACAGTAGAAGAAAAGTTATACGCGATAAGTACTGGAGCCAGTTGCGAGAAATTCCATCAAGTACTTTGATGGTAGTAACATGCTTCTTCGCGATGGAGTACTTTGAATAGGATACACAGATGTAGTTAAATTTCAGCAACCTTGTAGCTTATCATATGGGGGTATGAAAAAG